CCGCTCTGGGCCTGTGCAGAGCAAGATGTGAACACGATGCTGTCCAAACAGCGGCAAGGACCTAATTCCCCTTTCCTGCAGAAACCAGGACTGCCCCTTGCCCTCAGTGACAGCCACGGCCTTGCTCTTGTCTCGCCTCCCGGATGAGAATGACAAGATCCCAGACCACAGAATCCCCTGTTCCTGACAGCGCCCACCCCAGAGCCCGGCTTCCTCAGCCTGCACCCAAGTTGCCCAGTGGAAGCTTAGATCCTGTGATTCCTTCCGGACTCCCCTTCCTGAGGCGCCCCACGGTGCCCAGGGCCACACGAGTTCTCTCCAGCTGCGGGGAGTCAGCCGCCCTGGCTGTTCAGCCTCAGGCATGCTCTGGGGACACTGCCGCCCGCCGCCTGCCCCCTGCCTTGGGCTCGTGCACCGGCCGTCCCTCTTTTTGGAACGCCATCCTCCCTCCCGTCACTCACATCTTCAGAAAGAGCCCATGGCCCGGCTTGCCTCCCTCACCCACTCCCCAGCCTTGTCTTGTGTTTGTGGGTTTATCGTCTGTGTTTCCTGCTGCCCATACACTGGAGGCCCAGGCCCAGGGCCCAGGTCTGTCTCGTTCACGGCTCTCCCAGGGCCCCAGGGGAGCACCAGGTGCGCAGGGGCCTGTGAGCATGGGACCCAGGTCTTGCATGCCCTCCTCTGTGTTCCCCCAGGAAGTGGGGCCGCCCACCAGATGGGGTCAAGGGCCCCTCCTGAGCCTCCTGTTCTCCCATCAGCGCATTCCAGCCCGAGGAGGGAGCTGCCTGTTTGCAGCGAACCCCTGCCCCATCCACGCATCTGCACCCCGGCAGCCAGCGAGGCAGCCTCTTTGGAAGAGAGGAGGAGCCTATTCACCTAAAAGACAGCTCCTGAGCTCACTGCCAAGTGATGGGGACAAAAGCCACCCCCTGGGCTCTGCCTGCTTCCCTGAGGATGAGGCATGGCTACCTCTGCTTCCAGAATGAGGGGCTGAGGCCGGGAAGACGTGTGGGGCTCCTGGCTGGGGGGGCTCTTACCTCCCCCAGCTCCTCCTGGACCTGCTCCACATACGTGGTCCCTCTCCGCGCCGGGACCCCAGGGGTCTCTGACTGGTCGCTGCCACTCTCCGTCTTCCGGCTATGTTCCTGGGTCTCGGTATCTGACTCCTCAGGGTTCTCTCTCTCCGACTTGTCTGAGAACGCGTCGTTCTCCAGGGAAGACCCGTTCAGCCTGGAAGGTGGATGGTGCCAGTGGGTCCGTCACAGGTGAGACCCCAGCACACGCCTCCGGGCCGCCCACCCCTCGCTGCTTGGTGCTTCACATACGTTCCTGCCTGTCATCACCTCCACAACACACATTTGACACGATTAGCCCCATTTTATAGAGGAAGAAACCGAGGCTCCCAGGGCACACGGCAGTAAACACGTCCCTGCCTGCAGCCCCGCAGCCCATCAGAGCAGAGGCTGGGGCCGTCCTCTCCCCGTCTTCCTTGCCTACAGGGAGACCCCATAAGTCAGCACCACCTCGTGCCCTCGCCGCACTCACGGGAACAGGTCTTGGTCTGGGTGGACGGTGGCCGAGGTTGGCAGCCCGCAGAGCGATGAGGGTGATGCGTCTGGCGAGGTCCCTGGCTCCCCGTCTCGGCCCGGCTTGCAGGTGCCCAGTCTCAGCAGGCTAGAGCAGCGCAGGGCCAGCTCCAAGGCATCCAGCCAGCAGCGACCTGAGGGGGACACGGGGTGAGCAGGCCCCACCCCCACCTCTCTATATCCCCCATGCCCCAAGGAGCCACCAGGAGGCTCCCCTCACTCTGACTCTTCAGGGACCCACCCCCTCTATCCCAGACCCACCCCTGCCCCTGCCCCAGCAGGGACACGCCCTCTCTTCCCACCCCGACATCCAGCTGCAGATTGTGTGGGGACAGACATCGGGAACCCCTGAAGATTGAGGACTTCCCAAGCAGGCAAGCCCGGCCTGGGGACAGGTGTGCCAGGGGAGGCAGCCCTACAGAGGTGCCTGGGGATGCTCACAGCACGTCCCCACCCACCTCCACCACCCACATTGCTGACAAGAGGCCGGCGTAAGTGACCCCTCCAGGTCACAAACCCAGGGTAGGAGCCAGCCTCCTACAGGTTTCTGCAGGTGGAGTCAGGGAGGAGGGTCCTCCCTCACTGGGAAGCACTGGTGGGGGTCCCACCTGGAGTCCAGGGAGGAGGGTGGGGAAGTCTGAGGAGGGGTTTGCACACCAGGGAGGAGCCCTGCTGGAGGCCACCCAGAGGCTCTGTGGGTAGTGGCGGAGCAGAGGCCGGTCGACAGCTGGGCACCTCCAAGCCCTGCTCTGGGCCCTGTGCCCTGCTGTCTTCCTAAGCAGGGTGACAGCACCACCCGAGGGTCCTCCTGTGGGGCATGTGTCCATCTGGGTGACACCGGTGTCCCGGTGTGATTACTAACAGCGGCCCTTGCACTCAGAAGAGCATCTTGTGGTGGCCTATGACAGGTCACACTATTAATACGTTTTTTTTTTTTTTTTGGTTTGTTTTTTTGAGATGGGGTTTCACTCTTGTTGTCCAGGTTGGAGTACAATGGCACGATCTCAGCTCACCGCAACCTCTGCTTCCTGGGTTCAAGCAATTCTCCTGACTCAGCCTCCTGAGTAGCTGGGATTACAGGGGTGCGCCACCACACCCAGCTAATTTTGTATTTTTAGTAGAGATGGGGTTTCTCCATGTTGGTCAGGCTGGTCTCAAACTCCAGACCTCAGGTGATCTGCCTGCCTCGGCCTCCCAAAGTGCTGAGATTACAGGCGTGAGCCACCGCGCCGGGTCAATAAGTGTGTTTTTTGTTTTTGTTGTGGTTTTGAGATGGGGTCTCGCTCTGTCACCCAGGCTGGAGTGTAGTGGGGTGATCTCAGCTCGCTGCAAACTCCGGCTCCAGGGTTCAAGTGATTCTCCTGCCTCAGTCTCCCAAGTATCTGGGATTACAGGTGCCTGCCTGTAATTTTTTTTTGTTTTTAGTAGAGATGGGGTTTCACCATGTTGGCCAGGCTGGTCTCAACCTCCGGGCCTCAAGTGACCTGCCCACCTCGGCCTCCCAAAGTGCTGGGATTACAGGCGTGAGTCACCGTGCCTGGGCTATTAATTAGTGTTATTCAAAGAAGGCTTCTGGGGTCACATCAGGTGGGAAGATGGGGCTGAAGAGCATTGAAGGCGGTTCTGTGCCTCTCTGAGCCTCTGCCTTTTGGAGCTCCTGGAGACAGTGAGTTTCTCTCCCTCACTTTCAGATCCACGAAATCCTGTTCGTGTGGAGCATCCCAGGGTCCAGGGTAGGGAGGGACCTGCCTAGACAGTGGCTCCTGGGTCTCTAGAGCTGCCCTTCTCATTGGGTTGGAGGGATATCTGGGATCCTGCTGGTTCCATTGCAGGCTTGGTTGGTGCCAGAGTGGTCAAGCCTGGGCTGAACACTAGGGTTGGGGGAGGGATGGCAGTGGCTGGTGGTGGGGAGCTGGAGGGGTCACAACTGCCGAGTTGGCCCCAGGGCCTGAACATCTGTGCTTTGTAGCTGCCACAAAGGACTAGACATCCTGAATATTACGCATCCTTTGGAGCTCATTCCGAGACCTCTTCCTCCTCTTCCTGGAAGCCCACCCTGATACCCACAGGGGCTGGGGACATCCCTCCTCCCGGATGGTGGCCCCCACCCTATCAGGGGCTCAGCACATGCCTCAGCCCAACCTGCCTTATCAGATGGTTGGTTATCTACCTCACCCAGGAGCACAGAGGCTGTGGGCTACCCTGTCCATCCCAGGGCCTGCATGGGACCTGGCACAGAGTCGGGGACTCAGGATGGCCCAGGAGGAAGCACGGATCTGGCACCTGACCACCAGGGGTGATGTGGCACCAAGACTCCAACCTGACAGGCACCAGAGCCCCGTGGTCAAGGCCAGGCTGCTTTAGGTCTGCACCACTGGTGGGATGGGAGCCCCTCACCCTGCTGCTCTGGGAGGCACCAGCTGGGGTTAGAGGAGGTGGAGCAACCACATTTACCCAGAGCAGCCACTGGAGGGTGCGGTGGGGCAAGGCCCCAACCTCAGGTTAGAGGGAGGCACCGCCAAGAGGGAATCCCTCCAGGTGCAGGATCACCACAGTCACAGCTGCCTGAGCGGCCACTCAGGGCACACCAACAGCGTCCAATGCACTTGGCAGTCAGGGAAATTCACATTCATGTCCAGGCTCTAGCACTTTCTTGCTGGCAGTTTGCCTGTGCCTCAGTTTCCTGATCTGTCTAATGTGGATGATAACAGTAGAACCTGTTGGTTCAAAGGTGCCTGGTGTGAAAGAAAAATCTTGGGCCCCTCAAATCCCTAAGCTAAAGGGAAAAACTCAAGCTGGGAACTGCTTAGGGCCAACTTGCCTCCCATTCTATTCGAAGTCACCCCTCTGTTCACTTAGATAAATGCATATCTGATTGTCTCCTTTGGAGAAGCTCATCAGAAACTCAAAGAAATGCAATCATCTCTCTCTTATCTACCTATGACCTGGGAGCCTCCTCCCTGCTTGAAGTTGTCCTGCCTTTCCAGACCAAAACCAATGTTCATCTTACATATGTTGGTTAATGTCTCATGTCTCCCTAAAACCAAACTGTGCTCTGACCACCGTGGGCACGTCATCAGGATCTCCTGAGGCTGTGTCATTGGTGGGCGTCCTCAACCTTGGCAAAATAAACTTTCTAAATTAACCGAGACCTGTCTCAGATTTTCGGGGTTCACGTTTTGGTATCCACTGAGGGATTCTGAGTGGAAATGCCCCTGACTTTTCACAAGTCTCCTATTGGTGCTTGGTACTAGCTTAAGCTAACTTTATGGCTCAAACCAGTAAGACAATTTGCTGAGTCCCGGAAGCACCCACCCCAGAGAATCCCTGATCTCTCAAAATGTGGCCGAGATCCAAAGTTTACTTTGCTGTACAACTTCTCTTTTTGGAGTTTTACTTGCTTCCAACACAACGAAGGTAAGTTTTTCCTGCTTCTATGACGACGGAAGGCGGGTAACTCCTTTATGGAATTTGAGCTCGCTTCCAATAGGGAAGATGAGATTTGTTTGTTTTGTTTTCCTGCTTCTAGGACAGTGGAGAGCAGTTTTCAGCCTGAGACCCATCCCTAGGTAAGTAACTGAATTGTGGTTTGTCTTGGCTAAAGTTAAGATTAACAACCAGCTGGTCTTAACTTCTCCTCACTATTAGAGCGCTCAGTAATCACAGAAGTTGTGCGATGGTTTGTTTCGCTTAACTGTTTTTTTGTTGTTGATTGTTTCTGTTTTTGTTGTTTTGGTCTTTTTCCCATTGAACTCTATCTGGCTTGATCAAATCCCAAGGAAGTTCCAAATTATGGGGAACAAGGCCTCTGAAGTGGCTAAATTACCCTCCCCGCCACACACACAATGGTGGTGTGATGGGGGGAGAAAAATGGCCAGCAAAAGGAAAAAAAAAAGAGGAAAGATTTTGATTTTTGACTACTAAGGGGCTTTATTGATATAATAATGCCACATTTTCACTAGCCAGGCCAAACTGAAAGAGTAATGACTGTACTTCTGTGTCCTCATTAAAATTGGTCCGTTGAAATATGGAATGAGATTTAAAAAGATTTTTTTAAAGAAGCTCAATGGTTAAAAGTCAGTTTAATGAAAAGCTAACATCCAAGATGTGTGTGTGTGCATATGTGTGTGTTTGTGTGCAGGTGTGTGTGTGCGTGTGTGTGTGTGTGTGTGCATTTGTGTGTGTTTGTATTTAAGAGACCTTCATGTTTTTGTTTTTGTTTTTCTCCTAGGACCTTGTCTTTTTTTGGGCAAAAGGTTTTTTTCTTTTCAGTTGACTGAATTCTGTTTTCTTGATTTACTTCTGCTGTCTCTCCTTTCTCTTGCACCCTCTGCTGCGTGGGGGACCTAAAACAGTTTACAGTAGCCTGGGGTTCCTTAAAGAAAATGGAGAAGGCGCCAGACTCCCTCTGGGGGAGAAACTTGCTTTTTCTTATGAAACCCCAAGAATGTAAACAGACAAGTTTGTCTCAGCTCTTAAACTGCTTACTTTTGTATTGTGTAAACTGTTTTGTGTTTTCTTTTTGACTAAAATAGTTATTGCAACAGAGGCTACTCTTGGGTTTTTAAGGAAGAGTGTGGTTTAGACACTTAGAAATGTCTTTGTTTAAAAACTTTTTTTTAAGTGCACTATAAAAGCATTACGTAGTCTAACCTCATAATAATTCTCCCTTTTTGGAGACCCAGGATTCAGTGTGGGCTCTTCCCAGAGCTCAGAGATCCAGTTAAATGATAGGTAGTCCCTACTAAATAAAACTGGTCTCCTAATGCAATACTATGATAGACTTCTATAATTTTGTTTGCTTTGGCATCCATCTTTAGTCTCCCTCTAGCACCACCAGACTTTTTCTCTCTGTACCTTATGATGCAAATTTTGCTATTTGACTTTCACCTGAGTTGTTTCCTTTAATATGCAAATTAAGACTATTTAGCTGACAATTGCCTAGGGTTGTGAAACAGGTTCTCAAGAATCTGAAAGTCTAAGATAGGAAAAAAAAGTTTTTATAAACCTATAAAATGTATTTCTATTGGCATGCCTAATATGTCTATGTATTTCTGCGTTGTGTACACAATGTTTCACTACTGAAAATATATAAAAGGGCTCTAATTGGCTTAAGAAAATAAACGCACTTGAATCAAATACTTGATCAAGAAAAAAGAAAAGATGAGTCCAGTGCTTTTTCAAGTTTATGTAACTTAAGTAAAATCTTTAATGAATAAGCTAGCTTTAAAATTATTGGTAAAGTAATATTAGAAATGTCTTAAGAATTGCCAGCATACATTTTTGTTTGCATTTATTAATCAAGCAATTTCATACTTATCCCTGCCAAACACCATAGGTGTCAAAATTTGGCATAAGAGTTATGAAACTGGCCGGGCGCGGTGGCTCACGCTTGTAATCCCAGCACTTTGGGAGGCCGAGGCAGGCGGATCACGAGGTCAGGAGATCGAGACCATCCTGGCTAACACGGTGAAACCCCGTCTCTACCGAAAACACAAAAAATTAGCCGGGCGTGGTGGCAGCACCTGTAGTCCCAGCTACTTGGGAGGCTGAGGCAGGGGAATGCCGTGAACCCGGGAGGCGGAGCTTGCAGTGAGTGGAGATGGCGCCACTGCACTCCAGCCAGGGCGACAGAGCGAGACTCCGTCTCAAAAAAAAAAAAAAAAAAAAAAAAGAGTTATGAAACTACAAACCCAGCCCAAGACAGAATGATCTTTGCTTGTGTAATCTTTAATAAATAAGACATTGATGGCTGGGCACGGTGGCTCATGCCTGTAACCTCAGCACTTTGGGAGGCTGAGGTGGGTGGATCACAAAGTCAGGAGTTCAAGACCAGCCTGGCCAATATAGTGAAACCCCATCTCTACTAAAAATACAAAAATCAGCCAGGCATGGTGGCAGGCACCTGTAATCCCAGCTACTCACGAGGCTGAGGCAGGAGAATCGCTTGACCTGGGAGGCAGAGGTAACAGTGAGCTGAGATTGTGCCACTGCACTCTGGCCTGGGAGACAGAGCAAGACTCTGTCTCAAAAACAAACAAACAAACAAACATTGATATTGGTTTAATAAAAATAGCTACATCTTAAATTTAGTAAGATTACCATACCTTCTAATCTGGTGGCTTTAGGTAGTCTAGTCCACAGGCAGTAAGGTTTATTTTGAGAAAGACTGTTATAGTCTTTGTTTCAGCTAAACTATAAACTAAGTTCCTCCCAAAGTTAGTTCAACCGATGCCCAGGAATGAACAAGGACAGCTTGGAGGTTAGAAGCAAGATGGAGTCAGGTCAAATCTCTTTCACTGTCTCAGTTATAATTTTGCAATGGTGGTTCCATAATTTAAATAATGACAATTGCAGTTTTTATAAATAATCTAGGTAAATGATTAAAATAATTAAGTGAATGTAGTAAGACAAATACTTGCAGACAAACTCATCATAATTTAGAATTTAAAGTTAGATTAAATAATAGATAATTCACTATTTGGATATTTTCCAATAAAAATATATTTGTAGGAAAACATACTTTCTAAGAAAAAGTGTGTCCTTTTTAAAAAGATGAACAATTTTTGCCTAATTCAAAGCTTATTTAAAGGTCATGTATAAAACAAGGTAAAAGGAACCAGGAAATAAAATAGTAAAAGAGATGTAAAGAAAGTTACAAAGAAGTTTTTTTGGTGGGGGGTAAGAAAGTTTAAAGAGAAATAATTTCATATGAGAAAGAATCTTGTATGGTAAATTTAGTCTAGAGGAAAATGACTGGTTGTTTAAGAAAGAGGGATGTTCAGGACAAACAAGAAAGTCCAAGTATGTCATGAATGATCTATGTAAGTCACAATAAGAGGATCTATTAAAAAAACAAAGCCTTTTATACGATCAAGTTGTCTATGACTAAAGGGAAATTATAATGGTCTTTCTAGATATTGGGTTTGATGTAAAAAAACAGTTACAGACTAAATAATTGGTTAGAACAATGACATTTTCTTAAGGGGTTGATTTACTCTGAATCAATTACAAGAGATTTTAATTTTTAAATTTTAATCCAAAGTTCAACTTTTATTGCATCTTGCCAGTTTCAGTTTTCTCTTCCCTTTTAAAAGGTACAAAATAGTAACACTTCCCTTCAACTCATTTTCAGCTCATATAAGTTTTGTTTTCCTCCTCAGGTTCTGTTTTTTTGTGTGTATGTGGCCTGATGCTAACAATGTTTTCTTAAAGAAAATGTTTTTTTCTAACATAATATTCTATACACTGTAGAAGGTATTTTCTTCTGCCTTTTGGTAAGTGGCCTAACAGATTTTATGTTTTATCAAAATAATTCCTATGCCATTATTATTAAGTTTGGTTTGCTTAGGAAAAACTGAGATTAAAAAATTTGTTTTAATCAAGGTTATTACATCCTTGTATCTTCTTGTATGTGCTTTTAAAATCCTTGTGACATCAAGTTACAGGGATTTGACTCGTGGGTATAAAAAGAACACCAAGTCCTCCTAAATTTTAAACACTGACAGCAATTAAATCTTCATCTTCAGGCCTGGTAGAAGATGCCAATCAAAATAAACCACATTCCTGAGACATGGAAATTAAAACTCTTCAACTCCTCAAGGCCCAGAGACTATCCCAGAAGAGGTAGGCATGTGAGACTGTAAGAGCTGACTTTGAGAGATAAAATAAGTTCAGTTTCTCAGCCAGGTGCGGTGGCTCACGCCTGTAATCTGTGGATGGCATGAACCCAGGAGGTGGAGCTTGCAGTGAGCCGAGATTGTGTCACTGCACTCCAGCCTGGGTGACAGAGCGAGACTCCATCTCAAAAAAAAAAATAGTAAGTTCAGTTTCTCTATAAATTAATCATTAATGTCAAAGACACACTGATGCAAGACTGGCATATGGGCCCCTGTGTCAGATAAACAAGGTTTTCATGAAACAATAACTGACTCCTTAATAAAGGTTATAAAGGCTTATGGAAGTTATATCTTATGATCAAGATGAAAGTTTTATAGACTGTAATTTTGGAAAATAATTTAATTGGCTTCATGACGTTATTAGGGCTTATTGTTTGGAAAACTAAGTCTCCTGTCTCAAAGAATGAAGGTTTTTGCCTTTCTAAAAAAATCCTTGAGTTATCACTTTGTTCAAATGAATGATTTTACAATGACTTGTAATCCTATTTTGTAATATCAAGTGTTTTAAACCTTTAATATTTTGACAAACTTTCCAAAATCAAATTATAAATTATATCTTTTTCTAACCTAATCCTTTAAGATATTATTAATAGGTTCCCTAAAGTCCAAAAAGGACATGTTTGGCTTTTATTTGGTATAAAAATTATACACGAAGCATTGTCAAATATAAAATGGTGTTTGGTTTTCTTTGGGCTGTATTTGTATAAATATGTTATTGGTATGTGTTCCAAAATTATGGGAAACTCCTATAATTCTGATATGACCTAATGTACGTCATCAGTAATAATTATAATTGTTATGTTAAATGACTTTGTGCCACAGAGGTAACAAATTTCCTTGTCAATTATGTCTTTGACTATGGCTGCCCTAAAACTTTTTGTCATCCACAGACAATCGTTGTCTTGTTTTGGTCCTCTTTAGAAGGGGGTTTTATAATGGTTTTATAATCAGCTATAAAACTTCAGCCAACATAGTGAAAGCCCATCTCTACTAAAAATACAAAAATTAAATGGGCATTGTGGCGGATGCCTGTAACCCCAGCTACTCGGGAGGCTGAGGCAGGAGAATCGCTTGAACCCGGGAGGAGGAGGTTGCAGTGAGCCAAGATGGCGCCACTGTACTCCAGCCTGGGGAACAGAGCGAGACTTCATCACGACAACAACAACAACAACAACAAAGAAGTATGAAGTAATCTTTTTGACCTTTTGCTTAAAATATTGCTGATCCTTTGTTTTGTTTTTCAGAGTCAAGAAAACTTTAAGCTATTTATGGCTTTTAACAATTGAGTAAAGTATACTCCTATGAACAAAATTTGGAGCATATTTGTTTCTCTCTACCTGATTTTTACAGAATTTGGAAACTATCTGAGTATTCGTAACTTATGACAATGTAATTATTTGCATAAGTGCAATAAGAATCTGTTTTCATTTGTAACAGGACACAATTGGAGAAATGGGTTATTTTACCAAGGCTTTGCCTGGAATGATGTGCTTTCCTTTAAGGACTCAAACTTGACTTATGGAACCAATGAAAGCCCCTTGGAAAAACTGGCCTCTTACCTCGTCCACACAGTCCCTGACCTGTGGTAAGTAAAGAATGTCACTTTCTGACAGGCCCAGGAGCTCCAAATTTATCTTGGAACCTCAAAAAGATGATAATTCACCCAACTTATAGGCATTTCATGGCACAAATCCATGACTGGGCTCAGTTTTTTAAAAATCTTATCTGAGATTCCTTCTATGGAACAAAGTTCTATCAAAGACAATTTAAAAGCCTATGGAAAAAATAATTACTCTTGCTGCAATGTATAGAAATAATTAGTCCAAGTATAATAAAGCAAACCAGTCCTACCATGATTCGTCCTTAGTTAAAATGGGAAACTGGAGAGAAAAAAATGTGTTTCAAAATCTATAGTACAGCTGTTGTTAGATTCTAGTCTTCCCTAATGTTTTTCAATTTTTGTTATTTTCTACAGTTTGGACGAAATTCTAACTTTTCTTGGCTACGAGTCTTCAAAATAATGTTTTCAAATTTTTTCCTTCTTTTTTTTCCCCATTTTTCCTAATTTGGAGTCACTGAAGACTAAGTTGTGCTTTCTTAAAGCCCTGCAAACTGAAGCTAGGCAACTTAAACTTCAGAAGAAAATAACAGCAACCTATTACATACATAAGCCACTTTCATACCTGCCTCCTGATGTATGGACTTCAGAGTAATGTGGCCTATACCAATTTCCCTCCTCCCCCTATTTTCTCTTCATAGGACACAAGACTTCACAACCTTCTAAAAATGAGCTTTCCTAATAACTTGGGACCTACGTGTGTAGGAATAAACCATCCTAGCCATCAGAGATCAGGTGGAACCTGAGACCACAGACTCGTTTTCTTCTAAAATGCTTTCTCCAAAAGATTTTTAAAAAGAAAAAGGGGGGAAATGTGAAATGAAAATATCTTGGGCTCCCAAAATCACGAAGCTAAAGGGAAAAGTCAAACTGGGCACTGCTTGGGGCCAACCTGCCTCCCATTCTACTCAGTCACCCCTCTGCTCACTGAGATAAATGCATATCTGATGGCCTCCTTTGGAGAAGCTCATCAGAAGCTCAAAGGAATGCAACCATTTGTCTCTAATCTACCTATGACCTGGAAGCCCCCTCCCTGCTTTGATTGTCCTGCCTTTCCAGACCGAACCAATGTTCATCTTGCATGTGCCGATTGATGTCTCATGTCTCCCTAAAATGTATAAAACCAAACTGTGCTCTGACCACCTTGGGCACATCGTCAGGACTTCCTGAGGCTGTGTCACAGGCGTGGCCTCAACCTTGGCAAAATAAACTTTTTTTTTTTTTTTTTGAGATGGAATCTCCCTCTGTTGCCCAGGCTGGAGTGCAGTGGCCTGATCTTGGCTCACTGCAACCTCCACCTCCCGGGTTCAAGCAATTCTCCTGCCTCAGCCTCCCGAGTAGTTGGGATCACAGGCACCCACCACCATGCCCAGCTAATTTTGTATTTTTAATAGAGACAGGGTTTCGCCATGTTGATCAGGCTGATCAAACTCCTGACCTCAGGTGATCCACCTGCCTCGGCCTCCCAAAGTGCTGGGATTACAGGTGTGAGCCACTGCACCCAGCCTGGCAAAATAAACTTTCTAAATTATCTGAGACCTGTCTCAGATGTTTGGGGTTCACACTGGCATGTGGTTGCAGCTCAGTAATTGTTATATGAGTGCTTTTATAATGTCACTGGGTTCTCACACCATTGAGGTGACAGGTGTTTTTATTTATTTATTTTTTTTAAGATGGACTTGCATTCTTGTTGCCCAGGCTGGAGCGCAATGGCACGATCTTGGATCGCTGCAACTTCCACCTCCCGGGTTCAAGCAATTCTCCTGTCTCAGCCTCCTGAGTAGCTGGGATTACAGTCGTCTGCCACCACGCCTGGCTAAGTTTTGTATTTTTCAGTAGAGTTGGGGTTTCACCATGTTGGCCAGGCTGGTCCTGAACTCCTGACCTCAAGTGATCTACCCGCCTCGGCCTCCCAAAGTGCTGGGATTACAGGTGTGAGCCACCATGCCTGGCCTTTGACAGGTGGTATTTTAATGTCACGTTTTACTCATGGGGAACTGAGGCTAGGAATGGGGGCTCTGCGAGTGCAGGCCTAGCTCTGAGCCAGACTCATCCTGGCCAGACTTCAGGCTGCCCCCAGGCAGTGGAAGGGACTGAACTGGGGCCACCTGTACCTGGGCTACAACCTCAAAAGGGGACCCACTTCAGGTGGGGGCACTAGAGAGAGGCGCAAGCTGTCAGGCACTTACCATCTGACTCGGAGGCAGCCCTGAAGATCAGGTAGCTGCTGGGCAGGGGCTGTGTGATGGAGCCCACGCTCTCGCCTTTGGGGCCCTGGAGAGAGAGGATCTGGGTGTCACCCAAGGCAACACCCAGGGCCAGCTACACAGACAGGTCAGGCAGAACCATGCGGACCCACACCCGGGACCACCTGGATACCCCCAGGGCCACAGGGCTACCAGGTGGGGCCAGGCACCTGGCCAGGTAGACACTTGGCTGCCGAGAGGCGGGTAGGTGAGGGAGCTCTGTCCCTTTTCTTAGCCGGCAGCTCTGCCCTCAGCTTTCCAGCTCTGAGCCTCCCAACTCGGGGTGGCCAGAATCAGCAAATGCACATCCAGGATGCCCAGTGATGTCTGAATCCCAGAAAAACCATGAGTAGCTTTTTGGTCTAAGTATTTCCCATGCACGACTGGGGTCAGACTCGTATGAAAGAACCCTGATGTTTCGCTGAAATCCAAATGTAACCAGGTGTTCTGGGTTTCTCTGGTTTCCTACCCATTAGACCTGGCAGGGCAGCCCCGGGTTAGGAGGGGTGAGGGCCAGGAGCTGTTCCTCAGCCACCCCTGGGGAGTGGCTACTATTCTCCCTCCTGGACAGCAGCTGGGTGAGGGGCTGGGGTGACCTTGCTGCCAGCTGGCCACCTCCTTGCAGCCTACTGTTTGCTTCTTGGAGGACCAGTGACCACATCTGATCATCATCCCCCGCCACCCCGCCCCCCACACCGCATGTGGGGCTCAGAGAAGGTGAGAGACCTGCCCAACGCCCCCAGGGGGCCATTTAGCTGGCTGGCTCCACCCTCCACCGAGGCCCCAGGAATGAGCCCCTTGGCCCGCCGGGGCCTCTATCTTCAACCCCGTCCCTCTGCAGCACCTTCACGGCCCAGACGGACTGATCCAGCGGGTGGAAGAGCTTGAAGCAGAAGCCGTCCTTCTTGGAGGGCCGCTCGATGAGCTCGCAGCAGTGCAGCAGCACCGTGCCCACCCACTGGCCCACCTTGGGCGTCTTGTAGATGAGCAGTACCCCCGGCTTCAGCACACACCACAGCTTGGTCCAGCTCTTCAGGGTGCCACGGATCTGCAGGGAGGGTGCCGGCGTCAATGCCCACCCTCCGGGGCCACCACCCCGGGGGGCATCTTGAGGGCTTGGCAGGGAGCCGGGCACAGACCAGAGTGGGCTGCTGAGGGGCACTTCTCTTCCCTCACTCCCCCACACCAGCTCAGAACTCACCCTTTCCTCACCCCCACTCCCTGGGGTGGTGTCCTGTGTCTGTCGCATGCCCGAGCAGGGGCCAGGCCACGGTGAGCAGGGCTCCAGGACTCAGAGTGGAACTCGGGGCAGGGTCCTCATTTAGTTTTTAAAAGGAGCCCATGTGTTATGGTGAATGCAAAGAAATATGTGGCAGCAAGGACAAATTTACTTGTGAAGGTCATGTTCAAGGTCAAGGCCCTTAGGGAGGAACCAGCAATGAGTGGCGTGACTATTGTAACTGGCAGCTTTGTAAACTCTTTTTTTTTTTTTTTTGAGACAGTCTCTGTTGCCCAGGCCAGAGTGCAGTGGCACAATCTCGGCTCACTGCAACCTCCGCTTCCCAGGTTCAAGCGATTCTCCTGCCTCAGTCACCCGAGTAGCTGGGATTACAGGCACCCACCACCATGCCGGGCTAATTTTTGTATTTTTAGTAGAGATGGGGTTTCACCATTTTAGACAGGCCGGTCTCAAACTCCTGACCTTAGGTGATCCACCCACCTTGGCCTCCCAAAGTGTTGGGATTACAGGCGGGAGCCACCGCGCCTGGCCTGGCAGCTCTGTAAATTCTGAAAGTAGTTGTCACTTCTTTTCTCATTCTGAATACTCACTTTTGCACCTAACTTTTTATTCATAATTTTGGTATGTGGGTAGAAGGAGCCCACATGGGCCAGGGCTCTGCAGACACCAGGGCTGGGCACACTTATCTGGTATGTGCTGCCCAGCAGCCTTCGAGTTGGGTAGTTTTACCTCCACTGTGCGCAAGGGGAAATGGAGGCTCAGAGGCTGAGTGAATGGCCATGGTCTCCATGAGGTCTGAGCACAGGACACCCCGCCCTGATGTGGGGTCCTCTCCCGGAAGCTGCAGCAATGCCTCCCTCCCCAGTGCCCTCCACCCACTGACCAGGCCCTACTGTATTCAGAAATGGGGCCTTTGCAGACATAATCAGGTGAAGATGGGGCAACCCTGGAGTAAGGTGGTCCTAATTCCTACCACCGGTGTCCTTATAGAAAGGGGGAGACAGGTGGATAAGGAAAGGCCGCATGAGGATGGAGCAGAGGCTGCAGTGATGCGGCTGGATGCAGGGAAGTGAATTTCCATGGTTTCAGGCCACCCCACTTGTGGTCCTTTGCTATGGCAGCAGCATGCTGACCCGTGTCCTGGGTGGCCAGAGGCCGGTGTCACCTACCTTCAGGCTGTCGGCCATGATGACCACGCTGGGGTCTGTCAGAGCGCTGAGCAGCTGCCGTGTGGCACGCTTCTTCTCCTGCCGGTAGTTCTCCTTCTGCGCCTGGGCCCAGGGCACCCACGGTGGGTCATGGGAGAAGGCACCAAGCTGCCCCAGGTCCTCCCACCGTCCGGCCCAGTGGGGGGTCCAGGGGCAGGGGAGGAAGCAGGGGGCGTGGAGGCGACCAGGTGTGGTTTGTCCCCCTCCTTTTGACAGGCGGGGAGGGTGATTTCCCTGGCTCAGGTGGCCATCGGTCTGACAATGACACGGCTGCACCCTTCCCGGGCCTGGACTCACCTTGAGAGTCTCCTTCTTGGTGACCCTGGTGGTGGGGGACACACATTCCTTGTCTGACCCGTTGCACAGCCTGTACTCGGCCTACAAGAGAGAGGTGGGTATGGCGGACCGGGCACAGGGGCCGGCCCAGGGCTAGGAGCCCAGGTTGGCCTGATGCCAAGGATATGAGGGGCAGAGGTCAGAGAAGGGTGCTCTGCTCCCCTCCCACCTGGCACCCTCTGTCCCCCCGACCAGAACTTCCAGGGCTGCCATGGGGGATGGAAGAACAAGGGCGGCTGACAAGAGCCCCTCCATGGGCGCATGCCAGTGACCGGGGGAGACCCATCTTCCTCGGGGCACAAGCTGGGATGCGGCAGGGCGGTCAGGAAGGAGGGACATGTGGGGACATCAGGGTCCAGGGCTGACTTTCCATGGGTCTGACTGAGCCCTGAGGGACGGTCCTCTTTGAGGGGACACCTGGGAGGCCTCTGAGGAAGGCAGTCGGGGAGCCAGAGGGTGGAGTTTGCAGAAGGGGAGCTCGGCGGTAGCCACGAGATGGTGGTAACAAGCACTCAGGCTGGGTCTCTGGGGACCAGCCTTGCATCCACC